CAAAACTCCTTGCGTGGTATAACATTCAATTCAGATGCGGCTGTAAATCAGCACCTTGTTCAGTTTTTCACAAATAAAGACAGGTCCTTCTATGAACAAGGAATTATGAAGCTCACTGAAAGATGGCAAAAGGTTATCGAACAAAACAGGCAATATATCATAGATTGATCTTTGTTCTTTATATAAATAAATGACCTTTGAAAAACATAGATGAAATACGTCAGGCTTTTCCAACAACCAACTGCTTCTCTTGCTGCTTTTAAAATTCTTTCTTTGTCTTTAACCTTTGGCATTTTAGTTATGGTGTGTCTTGGTGTTGGCCTCTTTGGGTTTATCTTGTTTGGGACTCTGCACTTTCTGGGCTTGTATTTCCTTCACCAAGTTAGGTAAATTTTCCATCATTATTTCTTTAAATAGGATTTCAACCCCTCTTTCTCTGTCTCTTCTCTTTCTGATACACCTATGATACAAGTGTTGGTGTGCTTGATGTTGTCCCAGAGGTCCCTTAAACTGTCCTCATTTTTTTTAATCCATTTTTTTTTATTGCTCTTCTGATCGGGTGTTTTCTGCTACCTTATCTTCTAAATCACTGATTCCATCCTCTGCTTCATCTAATCTACTGTTGATTCCTTCAATGTATTCTTCATTTCAGTTATTGTATTCTTTATTTAGAATTGGTTCTTTTTTGTTTTCTATCTCCATATCTCCATTTTTATGTTTCCTATTTCTTTGTTAAAGAAATTCTCCCTGAGATCACTGACTAGCCTTATAACCAATGCTTTAGACTGCATCTGGTAGATTGTTTATCTCCATTTTGTTTAGTTCCTTTTCTGGAGCTTTGTTCTTTTCCTTTATTTGGGACATGTTTCTCTGTCTGCCCATTTTGGCTGCCTCCCTGTGTTTGTTTCTATGTAGGGCTGCTATGTCCCCCAGTCTTAGTAGAGTGGCCTTATGTAGTAGATGGGTCCCAGAGGCCCAGTCTGCCTGGTCACCTGAGCTGGGTGCTCCAGGTGTGTCCCTTGTGGGATGTGTGTCCCCTCCTGTTGAGGTAGAGCCTTAGTTGTTTTTTGCATATCAATGGGAGGCATTGACCTTTAGCTAATTGGTTGTGAGGACTGGCCATGACTACAGTGGAGGAGCTATTGTGCAAGGGCTGACCCTACAGACCAAGATTTGCTTTAGCAGGGCTAAATGAAAAAAGATCTTGTGGGGAAATAGTGAAATAAAATAAAGAGAAGATTTTGCACAGGCCAATGATGATACGGTTCTATAAACTGGAATGTGATCAACTCTATACATTTAAATCTTTTGA